GTCGCTCAGTCTTCCCACTCTGGGTTCTGTAATTATTTACATTAGCATTTTTGCATCATTTAGAGATTTGAAAATGGCTAGCTTACCTTGCGCAGGATAACCACACCTTCCAGTACGTTTGTCAGGCTGAGGTACTTCTCGTCTTCCAATTCCGCTCTCTCGCCGTGTGCCAGCAGCACCGGTGTGCTCTGTGTTTGCCATCCAGTGATGGTCTTTGGGCGACCAGCCTGACCCACAATGTCTACTGCTTGACCAACGCGGACATTTACTGTGAGTGGCTTAAGTTCCTCATCGAGAGTAATGAGGAAGCGCGGTGACATGGCGGTAGCTAAGTAGTAGAGGAGGTAGTGTGAGTCGCCGGCAACAAAGGACTTAGCATCAATGAGAGACACAAGGACGGTAAGAAGACCTGAAGCTGCGACGCGAGACAGGACCTGGCGGTCAGTGTGGAATGGGTTGAGAGAGAGCGTACCCTTGCCAGCATGCAAGAGACCTTGCGCTATGCGGACCATGAACAACGCGTTGGGGTCGCGGTGGTAGTAACTGGCTAATTGTCGGAGAAGTTGTGCCAGACGAGCGTTGTTGGTACCGGCACCGCAGAGACCCATGGCAAAGATGGCATTGATGGCGACATCGTTGTCATTGTCGTGAGAGTATCTTGAAAGGGTGTCGTAGACCTTCATCTGTGGGTTGCTAGGGCTGATGAGACCCAGAGCAAGAGGCACAGCCTTGCGGATGTTGGCCTCGCCGTAATGCATCAGGTGACCGAGGGTGCGCAGAATCATCTCTTGGCCGACGTCCTCGCCCATAGCGACCAGTGAAAGACCAATAACCGCATATGACTGAAGGAGCTCGTCACCCTTCTTCTCCTCGCTCTCGTCCTCAATGTGCTCATTGCAGATGTGTAGCAGTTGCTGGATCTTCAGCACAGCACCAGTACCCGCCCACGCACACACCTCGGTGAGAACAGAGGCAGACTTGGCCATGGGGTGGTCGAGCGCCTTCAATGTTTCCAGAATGACGTCGACCTCTTCTTGTTGGCCAAAGAAGAGTAGAGCAAGACCAAGGGCCATGAAACGAGTCCACTTGTCCTTGAGTTGCTTGGTTCGGTCCTCGTCCAAAAGAGTATTCATCAGGGCGTCTGTGACGTCTCCATTGGCGGAGCCGACAAAAATCATTCCAAGAGACAAGGCTGCCATGGCGGAGAGCTGCATGTCGAGTGTGGTGTCACTGACCACCGGCAAGAGGACATCGAGGAGGTCTTCCTTATTCGACCCCGCGTATGCAAGACCAAGACCCATGATGGCAGCCAAACGAATGTTCTTGTTCTTGGAATTTATGTTGTCCTCGTCTCCTAGGAGAGCCATGGCGGGATCAGAGTCCATTCGTACTCCAGAGTTGAAGATACCAGTGGCGAGCATAGCACCAGCCTTGACCATGTCCTCTTCGACTTGAGTGTAGGGGTCAATTCTATCAAGACCCTCTTCAACATCCCAGAGCATAAGCATACCCATGGACGCGGTTGTTGAGAGCATACCCTCGTCTTTGGTCTTCCATACCCAGCTAGTCTTGGTAGCCTCGCCTAGCATGAGCTTGTCGTTAGCATAACCTGCATTGACAAAGGCATTGACAAATGCGGAAGCGAGGTTGTGTCTGGCGGAGTCGGTGTTGGTGAGGCCGGCGGTCCTGCTGCTCTCGAGATGCGTCTTGTAAATGTCATCGGGAGACTTGGGGTCCAGGATGTTTAGCTCTTTGCCGAGGGCTCGGAAGTGATCAGGCAAGCGTGTGTTGTTTAGACACTCCTGCAGTTCAGGGTCTTCGTCCTCGGATACGTCGAACCATATCCGCTGTCGCCCGCAGAGGAAGGCCATTTGCCTGCGAATGGACTTGTCCTTTGTGGCATCAAAAGCTTCTTGGATCAGCTCCTTCTCGTGTAACCGTATGGCTATCGCCATGGCCTGTGTGTACTGCTTGTATTTGGCATAGATGCGGTAGGTGGTACGGAGGAACTTGTCATTGTCCGGGTATGTGAGCAGGGGTACGTTGCTATCACGGTTAGTAAAGTCCACAACGGTACATCATGGAAAGTCCATACCTGACCATGTAGAGCGCTACCCTTGAGTATGTGTTTTCGTCAACGTATTGCTCAATTTGGTCAATCATCTCGAGCTCGGACAGGATATCGACAGCATCGGCCTCGGCGTTGTGCTTAAGAAAGAAGGGGACAAGGGTCGAGGCGAGGTCGGTCACATCATCGGTGGATTTGTCGTCATTGAGGCGGTTCTGGTATTCGGAGCCAATTTCAAGCGCAAGGTGGCGCATGTACTCGTGGCCCCATGAGCCGAGATCTGTGGAGGGGGCTTCGAGACGGTACTTGAGACAGTCTAGGCGCTCCTCGTCGGAGTATGTCATTCCCAGAACGGACATCATGTCGGCGAACGATTGCTTTTTCTCCAATTAGCCCTGTCTTCGCGCCCTTGAACAGCCACATCAACGTACCTTGTTCTCGCCGGCTGGCCATGATGCGTAGGCCTTCTCTAGGCTCTCGTAGTGTGGTCGGAGGAACTTGAGTGGCTTGGGCACAGCGGTCATAGAGCTCGTCGATGTCTTGATGAATTCCTTGATCTGGTCGAGTGCGGGCTTGTACAGGCTGGTGTCGGATCCCTAGTAGAGGCACAAGGTCAGCGCATGTTGCGGGGAGCACGGGAGAGACAACATCACATACCAGTATCCGGTCTGCAAGCATGTCCAGGTCGCTCTTGAGCTGTTGGTCTTCCTCGCTAAGCTCCTCTGCCGTTGACCGTCAGTATATAATCACCGAGATAGCTGCCATCCCAGCTTGATTGCAGGCCAAACATACCGCCAGTCGTCGCCACGCCGCCCTTCTTGTCCTCTGCATCGGGCTTTGCGTCCTTGCTCTTGTCTGCATCGTTTGCGGTCGGCGCCTTGCCCTTGCCCTTGTCGGCAGCCGTGGGCTTCTTGTCGTCGTCCTTGGCCATGTTGATTACGATATGTCGCTACCACCGGCGGCGAACTATGTCTATTGTGCGGGGAGATAGCGGCGTCGACGGCCGGTAATGAGGGGGCTGCGTTTGGTGATGGGAAATGTATACGCGCCGCTCGAATGAAACGGGAGCAGCTTTAAGGCTGGTGAGGGGGAGTGATAATGGGCGGATTGATGTCAACGAGGCAGCTCTTGCGTTCGCGTACCACTTCCGCCGCGCTAGGGCCAAGCACCGTCCGCCGATGATGAGCTGCGGCGGCGGCAGCAGGCGCTCAGACCCTCTCTCGCCTTTGAACCATCCAAAAATTATATTCTTCCACTCACCCCAACCCCAGCAACCTCCTTCACTCTCACCCGGACAGCCGTCGGAATACGCCTGCCATGAAGCTCAACGTCAAGAACATTCGCTACCTGACAGCCGACGACTGGCGCGTCCTGACTGCGGTATGCGCCCATAGCCCGTATCTTCGTCTGTGTCTATGGTGGGGGGACTAACGCTGATCAAGACCATGACAGACAGAAATGGGCAGTCGAAACCATGAGGTTGTGCCCACGCCTCTGATTTCTCAGATTGCCGCTCTCCGCTCAGGCACTGGCGTTCACCGCTGCATTTCCAACCTGGCCAAAATTGGCCTCATCGCAAAGGTCCGCAATGCCAAATACGACGGCTATCGCCTGACGTACGGCGGCCTCGACTACCTCGCCCTCCACACCCACCAGAAGGCTGCTACCGTCTACTCGGTTGGCAATCAGATTGGCATAGGCAAGGAGTCGGATATTATTGTGTGTGCCTCCGAGACGGGCAAGCAACTGGTTCTTAAGATTCACCGTCTGGGCCGCATATCCTTCCGCACAGTCAAAGCGAACCGTGACTATCTGCGGAACCGCCAAGGTGGCTCGTGGATGTACATGTCGCGTCTCGCCGCCCTGAAAGAATTTGAGTTCATGAAGGCGTTGCGAGCAGAGGGCTTTCCAGTCCCTGAGCCCATCGGCCAGAACAGGCACACCGTCGTCATGAGCCTCATTGATGCCTTTCCCATGCGCCAGATCTCCAAGGTCGGCAACCCTGCACCTCTATACGCTGAACTCCTCGCCCTCATTGTCCGTCTTGCACAATATGGTCTGATCCACGGAGACTTCAACGAATTCAACATCCTTGTCGAGGAGCATACAGAAAAGGATGGCAACGTGACCCTAGTACCTACTCTTATCGATTTCCCGCAAATGGTTTCCATCGACCATGCCAATGCCGAATACTACTTTGACCGCGACGTCGCCTGCATAAAACGCTTCTTTGATCGTCGTTTTGGCTTCACAAGCGACGAGCCCGGCCCATTCTTTAAAGATGCGACAAAGAAGCTGGTCAAGAGGTTGGATGTCGAGGTGCAGGCATCTGGCTTCAGTAAGAAGATGGCAAAGGAACTGGAAGTTTACATGAAGGAGCACGGTATTGACGGCGACGCTGCAAACGCCGAATCAGGTGTGGATGGTAACGAGCCTGGTGACGAAGATGAGGATGGAGCTGGTCTTGAGGAAGACTACGGCGAGGCTGAAGACTACAATGACAATGAAGGTGGACCAGTTGGTGACGACATTTCTGCCGAAACCGAATCAAAGGGCGACAACGAGCAGCATGCATCCACAACACTCGCTTCTCAAATGACGATCCTCGAGATCAGAGACAACGACCCCCTACCAGACCTCAACGACATCAAGCCACCTTCACCATCTAGTCCTACAATAACAACAAAGGCAGCTAAGAAGAAGGCCGGATGGGCCTTGTAAATTCGTCCAACCCGCCCCTTCAATTTCACCACTCCTCCTTTTTCAGCGATACCCACGATTCCACACCACGCCTAGGCACTTGCATCTAAAAAAGTAAAATTTTGAGACATACATAGACATGAAAGAGAAAAAGCAATGCATGATTGAATGATATCCATTTCTCCATCTACCTCCTGCTTCTACATTATCACCACATATGCTCAATTACCTCCCCTGTATGCATCTCTTCCGCTTTTATCAGATCAGTTCCAGCCCAACAGACAATCACTACCACTGTCTTTCCCTATCACCCCAACAACACAAAGACATCCGCAAACACACCCTCCTTCCCCAACGTATCTCTCGCATACTTCTCCTTATCCCTCCTCACCTCCTTCTCCCACGCTCTATCTTCCTCCTTGCGCACTCTCTTCACTCTCTTTTCTTCCTCGTCCATGATAGCGCGGTACGTCACGTACCACTCCGGTTGCCCCGTACTACTACGAGCGCCCCGCGTGTTTTTGTGGGGAGAGCAGCGGGCCCCCATAGAGTAGTTTTGTGGCTTAAGGAGAGACTTGGGGTTAGGTTTGCGTGTTGGATGGAAGATGGAAGAGATGCGAGGGGAGGATAAGTAGCGAGATACGAGATCTCGGGTTTTGTGAGTGTCTTTTGGTTTCTTGGTTGTTGATTTGGGATTTTTGTTGCTTTTAGTGAAGAAGAGAGAGTTGTTCTGGGTACGGTGCTGGTTGGCTTGAGATTTTGGGTTGACAAAGAGGGTTGAGTAGTGTGAAAGCATAGTGGGAGTTGATTGGGTTAACTGGGCTGGTAAGGTTGATTGAGTTGGTAGGGTTGATAGAGCTGATTGACTTGATCGGGTGATTGAGTCAGTTGAATTAGAAAGTAAAGTAGTATCAGTACTACTGGTGTGATTTTATACATAGTGAGTGTGCGCATCGAGTTTGTGCACTTGGAGGTCCGGCTACATGCGGTCATATGCACCGGTTTCACTCACACTTTTTTACCATTCTGGGAATGCATAGGCCATTCCGGTTAAGGTTTTGGGTATTTTGGAGGCCAGGTAGTCGAGTTGATGGGCCGTAGAGGCTACTGGTAATAGCAGAATCATGGATTTACGTGTATAACAGGTTCAACAAAACGATATATCTCATGTTGAAGTGGTCTTCTTCTTGAAAACCAAGAAATACCAAATCGGCTCTATTGGGTATTTCTATTGGGTATCATAAGCCACTGCCACCTTGTACAAAATAACGTTTCGCCGTTAACAGCCTGTTGCTGAGTGGCGATCCAGACCAACCAATACACAAACCGTCCCGAGACCGCGGAAATGGTCTTGGCATTCATCATGTTCTTTGATTCACGGTGATTTGCCTCATGTGCTGCGTTAGTCGTAGCGGGGATGCTAAGTGCGCGAAGTGAAGATTCCCACATCGAGGTAGTTCCTAACACTAACGTGAGTAACTTTCACTCTGCCGTTGGACTTGGCATAAGGATCAGCTGAGTAGATATATTCGGAGCGTGTGAGGAGTTTGGTGCTCTGAGAGGGCTCAGAACCATATCTTGATCAGCTCCTCCGAGACTGCAGACGGAGTGAGGACACCTGACTCAGTGATGATTCCAGAGATCAGATCTGGAGGCTGTTTTTGGGTTAGTACATCATGTATGAACTGCATGATGCGAAACCTACAGTGAAATCAACGGCGTCATGTGCGTCGAGCGGAGCGACTGTCGAGCCTTGTTTTGCGGTCATGTCAGCAATGGCCTCGTCGAAGACATTACGCTGCTCTTGTTCACCCTTGATATTTTGTTCGGCCTTGTTTTCCTCGGCCACTTTAAAGTCCAAGACTTTCTGCTCGATTGGCAAGTCGAATTGGCTCAGCGGGTAGAGCCTGACGAACTTGTGGCTCTCGGCCACGACGTAGAATGGCTTTCCCTTGCTCTTGGCTAGCACACCCAACTGGTATGTTCCCATGCGCGATATTATTCCGCCGTTTTCTACAACACCTTCGGCGCCCACAATGACCATGTCGACCTTGCCCAACGAGTATGCAACTGCCGAGTCTGGGATCGTGGCCACCGGTACGTTGTGTTCTCGGAGATCGGCGACCGTCTGCAACCCCTCCTTTGAATCGAGCGAGCTTTCAGATGGCAGGACATATACGACCTTGAAGCGGAGAGTGCTTGATTCCGCCGCCCTTCTCAATAGCGCACCCACCACTCGCGAGCCACCGTTTGTAAGTACAGTGCCACCGTCCCGGATGAAGTGCTTGCCAAAACTGGCTATCTTCTCCCTGCTCTGCTTTGCTCTGTCCACAAACAGTTTTCCGTTAGAGAGCAAGTGGTTTCGTATCGCGCGGAAATCATCTTCTGGGCCCAGATTCAGGCTGGCGGGGCGGTTGAGGGTGGTAATAAGATAGCGCTGGAAGAGGTCGGTGCCGGCAGAGAGTGAGATGGGGTTTGCGATTGAAGCCTTCAGCGCGGCAGTGTGGCGTTCAAGAAGATCGAGAGTCTCGGCGACGGTTGACACAGAACTTTGTGCGATTGCTTCAACAAGCGCCTCGATGGCCGCGACGGGCATAGTAAGCTCGGGATCATCTTCTAGGATTCGGCGATAGGTCGCGACAATATCGAAGTCGGGCTTCGTCTTGGCCGCAGGTTCTGCACTCATTTTGACGGTAAAATGTGGGTGTGTTGCTATTTCGTAGACTTTTGGATATTTTGTAGGGAGGGGTCGTCGGCGATTGAGTCATTCGCCAAGACCAGAGGATTAACTCCGACCATAGTATCCCCAGATTTCATCCAGACCTGCTAGCGAGACAAACACCACTGAACTTATTCCCTGGTTATGTATAGATTGCCAGGGCCTTCTAGGAATGATTTCGCTTATTATGAAAATATCGGTCTATGAGAGCTAGTTCACAATGGCTACGTTTGTCGCATGCAATCATTCGTGTCTATCACAACCGAGTACCCTAGGAAATGCCCAGTCTTTGATCTAACAAAGCTGTTACTGGCTTTTCCTCTGCTCTGATTCCTGGTGATTATTTTTACGCTACTGCATGATATGAAAATTGGCAAGAGCATGAGTACGATCACCGATGATCAGCTTACGCAACTGCCATCCAAATCGATCAAGTTATGCTGCATCTCATCAACAGCCTTACCGTATGAAAGCCACATAGAGATGTTTGAGCATACACATAGATCACCTAAAGACTTTCAGATATGATTGCAAATCGGAACCGTTTCTTGTACCTTTTGCGGAGTACTGTGGGAATAAAACGAAGTCGGTGTTTGACGGATAAGTGCCGTGCTTGCCTCAAAAGATTCCTGAGTTGACAGCTAGAGTGGTATGCGAAGTCAAAGTAAAGGTGTTCTACTATAGTTGCTAAAGTCATCGCAGTTGTTTCGCATAATGACGCTTGCGATGTCTTTTTCGATAAGACCATCTTGATCTAGGGTCCATGAGCACGAATCAACCACATGTGAGGTATACAATACTATTGCAAGGTTTTCTGAGCCTTGGAATAGCCTGCACTCAACCATGTGCTATCATCACTCTCACAACAAACAAATGCATTACTGGTCGTACGTAGTGCACTCACGCTTTCTCGCCTTCCTGTCACGGTGATCCCGCAAGATCAATAACGAGAGTTTTCGCTGCGTCCATATTTGCTGTGAACCTACAACATCCGCGCCTTGTAACTTTCTCAGTTACTTTGTTTTCCGATCTTACCCCAGACATGGACAAACCCCCAGCCACCTCCCACCAAATGCCTCCCCCTCATCGGAAGGCGAACAGAGTTTCACAGCTGATCGAATACTATCAAAACTTGACTTCTCCTTTGTCCTCGACCCCAAATACCCCTGTTAAGAAGACACTTATTATCGAACCGGGCCCATCACCAGCAGTCAGTCTAGTCAAATGTCTAACAACTCCATGTGAAGGACTGGAGACCGATCCGCCTCAGTCCGACAGTAATTCTACAGTAGTTACTTCTCCCATATTCTCTCAAAAAGCACGTGAGAGTCCAAGGAAGGTGCTGCCTTCTTCGTCAGTGCAGGACTTTATCATTACAACATCGACCACGGTCACTCTTCCAGCCAAGGCTTATTACAAAAACTGCCGAATATAGGCACTAGGCCTCACACGGGCTCACTTGGATCCGGATGAGGAATCTGCGGCACATTTCCAGCCTCGAGATGTAAGACCATATTCAATGTTCAATGTTGAACACACGTTAAGATCACCCGGCACGTCTACTACCTCACCAGCAACGCCACCTGGAGCAAATCCTGTTCGTAAAGCTTGCATCGTCAGTGAAATGGGATTTAATCTACGGACAATGTAATCCACACCTCAAGAGCAGCAGCAACACGTGTTGCACTCGGAGACCGACGTGACCTCTTCTGCGGGGTGGTGGAGCGCTAGGGACCGCACTTCAGAAACACACGCTTCTCGTTCTATTAGTCCAGTTACTTGTCGCGAGACACGATAAAGGCCAATGACTGAAGATCAAGTTCCAAGGCTTGCTCAATCTATCAAGGATCATGAAGATGTTCTATACTCGACCCACGCCCTGGATGACGTTACCGGACCTGATTGGGTGTTGGGTGAGGAGATCAAAGACGCGCCGAAAGTTCTTGAAGACCCTCACCTATTTTTAGTTAGTGATAGTCACAGGAGTTGGGGGACTCATCAGAAGTCAGTTTGAAGAGGAGGTTGTACAAAGTAAGCCGAAAATTCAAGAATCCTCGAACAAATAAGAGAACTATAGCACATTGATACCCAAAGAACGCCCGTGTTCGAAGCGTTGGCCGCAGTATTGCGGAGTCAAATTCCTACCCTCCATCCGAGGAAGATTCAGCAACAATTCTTCGACGGATAAATAGTATGCGATGTTCTTGTATGATGACGCGTTTTACATGGGGCCCGACGTCATGCGCGAACGAAACTTCAGGGCCTCTATGGTTGTAGCTCACATGATGGTGAGCCGTCTTCCTACCCAAACTAGCATTACCAGAAAGGAACGTGTTCTGGACCAGTCGATTTGCGCAGGTCATACAGATCAGAAAGAATATATGTTGATCTCTCAGGCCAGCTAAGCACTCATCGACTGACAAGTTCCACTCCCACACACACGCGTCACTTTCCCGACCTCTCGTACAGCATGACAATAATATCAGGCATCGCCTCAAAAGTGAAGGATATTCACTTAGTACCTCCTACAGAAGAGGAAACATCCTCATCAAAACAAAATCTCAATAGTTCAAAGCAGTCCCATCCGGAACCGAAACGGCCCATCCTCGAGATCATGTCCTATGACCGCTTCACTCCACCAAGTCCGACACCCGACCTTGAATACGATTGCCGCATAACCAACAACCCATCTGAAGAACTCCGTAAAAAATGTACAGGGCTCGACGCCATTTTGCAAGAAGAGCTTATGAGCCGGAGCTCGTTTAGCAACATGGTTACACGGGCTGAGAGCGACATTAGACGTCTTATGGAGGTGGAAGATGTGAGGGCTCTTCGGGCAGATGAGACAGCTATTGTGAGGGTAGGATGTCTCTGTGGGAGTGGCCACCATCGCAGTGTAGCGTTTGCAGAAAAACTGGGACAGGTGCAGTGGTGTGAGCAAGGGGAGTGGGAAGTCAGAGTCTCGCATCGGAATCTAACTAGTGGGGTAGAGGAGACGAAGCAGGTTAGGAGTGAGAAGAGCAAAAGGAGGGAAAACAAAGAGACAGAAAAGGAGGACATACATGGGTACGCTGGAGGAGCGGCGCGGAAATAGTTGAAGTCGACCATGACCGGAATTTACAGGGATCAAATGGCTTTGTCTAAATCGGAACAATCTACCTTCGATACATCCATGGAGTTGCAGAAAGTACAAACGGCTCATACACCTTCTGCGCTGCACCGCCTCTCTATAGCTCAAGCCTCGTCATAAACGAATCGGGCAGCGAAACCTCAGAAGCATTACGACCCACCTGTGCATTCTCAAACCGTCTCATCTCCCGCGCCTCCTCCCACAAACGCTTTTTCCTATCCTCAATCTGTCGCATTTCGGCCTCTGCCGCCTGTCTCGAGTTCTTCGCCCACTGTCCAATCTTCTTCACCCCCCCTAATCACTGCATCCACCTTGCCCGCACTCTCCTTGTCGCCAATGTTCTTTTTTGCGTCTTCGTCCGCGATCCTAACACCATGCTCTCTCTGCTAGATCCGCCATATATCGTCGTCCCATGACTCGCTCTTTGCTGCAGTTTCGTACTGAGCCCACCATTTTGTCATTCTAGGGGAGGTCACGTCAACGTTGTAGATGTGCCAGCCCCATGCGGTGGCGTCTTTGGCTATGGCGTCGTTGCGAGCGGCTATCGAAGGGTCATTTGAAGGTGGTAGAGCGATGTACTCGGTTGTTGTATTGTGGTAGCGTGGGGTGTAGGGGTATGAGAGCCAGCCGGACATTTGGTAGTAGATTGAGATAGCAAGGATGATCATTGTGAGAGATGGTGTTCCAAGGGTATGGGGTGTTCTGTTGCTGTAAGGGGGCTTGGGGGTTCAATTGGCTTCATTTAGTATTAGGATCTTGTAAAACATGGATATTGTATAATATTATGGTAGCGGCTCATTGATGGTTTCTACACAGTGAGGTTTGTTATCTTCACTTTGCTTTCACCTTTCACACTGTCACTCTAGTTCTACACATGGATTGTTCTCATAGCAGGGCCGAAAATGTGCAAGTGAAAAGCATGAGGCAGTATGACCTCCTTCCCTGTGATGTGTGATCCACGCCCTGCGTACTGTAACTGTATGCCCGAAGCAAGTGGCACTTCATGTTGAACAGCACTCTACACCTTCGCTACACTTGAGCACACTCATATCTATAGTCTGACTACAGGAACACTCTCATAGAACGCAATATTCTAACAGTTAACTATCTCTGTATACTTTGCAAATATTACAGTGCTCTCTCCGAGTTCTGCTCAGAGATGGTGAATTTACTGTTTGACACCATCTAACGGATCCATTGTGAATTCGAGGGATGGAGCACCTCCTGTCAATAGACAAGCAGCAGAGCACATGAATTCAATGACATACGTCACAATATTTCTTCCACTCTGTGCCAAGTATTCACTCAATTGCTGGCACTTGAACAACGCAATGCATGATCGTGAAAACAACCGCTCCACAACGATAAGGTGCATGCTTGGTGCATGCAGGCTCTTCAGCGCCGCAGCTCACCAGATCGACTGGCTCGGAGTTCTTCCTAAGATATATCCAAAGCTGTCTCACCTGTATCTTAGGTTCGCCTCACCTTGTGATGGAGTTATTTCTTTTTTTCTGTCATCACCTTGTTCCATCGGTACGTTTGTATGCATACACTCACGATCCCAAGAGCCAAGTACTGCCCAGTATCCTCACGTTGTCACGCTGGCATCATATCTACTTCTTGCCAGATCAATCACTATAGAGGAGAGGTGTTCTAGCCTCTTATCCCTGGTAACGCCCACACCGCTCAGATAGTAGTTGCTGCCAAAAACAATGAAGCATGGACCATACATCGTGTAATCAGGCGTCATCCAGCCTCGGCATCGAGACGTCAGGGTTTTGAGCATCGGTGCCGATAGTACTTACATATACTCCACAATCTTGGCATTTTTTTTCCGCGTGCGGATGCAAGAAAGATGCAGTGTGCAGTAAGTACAGCAAAGAGTTGCATATGTGTAAGATTGCCCCAAACGCAATGTGGAGATAGGAATGGGAGAAGAAGAAAAAAACAAGCCTGGATAGGCATAGTAACCGTGCGTGCGAAGGTGTCTACGTGGCCCAACTTGACTGACTCTGACTGAACATTAGAGTTTTGGCAACAGCAGCAACGTAGCACACAGACATGCAAGAGTCACGATGTGCTCGATGGTGGAACCTGTTGTACGCACATCGTCATCACCGTCTTTGCATCACATGATATATGCTACATAGTTCGTCTCGTAAGCTAGCAGTAAACGAGAAGCGAGAGGTCCAGACTCCTGTCAGGCAACCTTTTGTTTTTCTTTGCTGCCTCACGCATGACGATGCATCCGTGTATCCGAGCTCTACAGGCCCGAACCCTACCCATACATATCCCATATAATCTATGCACGGTTCACAGTCTCTCACGCTGCAAGGACCAAGCTTACCTGTCACAAGACGTGTTGCGCACAAACCTCGTAAACAAATCAAAGGATACCACGACATGTTTGCATTAATACTAACTATTAAAATTATTATCTCAGTCAACTTTTTTTGGCGGCCCAACTAAATCTCCTGCGTGACGTCCCCAAAGCAATTGCCTGATGAATCAGCTTACTATTGGTAAGCGAAGCATCGAAAGGGCAAAAAAGAACAAAAGATCCCCCCGCAGCAGGGTCGGCCAAGAGAGGGGATGGGGGTTGAGAGTAGTCCGCGTGCTCTGTTTCCCCAACAATGCAGCGATCGTCCCATGCCCCCCTCCCCCCTCGCTCTTCTAACCGAGCCAAGCTTGCTTCTCCTGCTTCTGCGCATTCCCATTATGCAAGCCAAGTCCGATCCCAACTACCAAGAAAGAAAAGAAGGAAGCGAGAAAAAAAAACTGATGAACCGAAAAAGGTGCCAGTTTGGTTGTGTGAGGGTTAAAAAAGCCAACCTATTGTTTTCCCCCAGAGTCCCTTGTCTCTCACATACACACACACACCCATGTCCACGTGGCCATCTTCTTCAATCCGTTCTGTCGGGCCGACAAGAATCGGGATGAAAAAAACAAGCAGTCTTTCTTCTCTGGGTGGAATTGACAAAGGGAGAAAAGGGGTGCGTGCGTGCGTTATGCCGTGTTGGGTTGTCGTACAAAGAGAGGAGAAGAGAGAAGAGGAAATGACCGAAAATGATGTCATTCCTCTCTCTTCCTCTCTCTCTCTCTTCCGTGCGCGTAATTAGACTGACTCTGGAGGTGATCTTATCCTTCTCCATCGTGGAAGGGGACTTGGCAAAAAAAGGGACCTTCCTCCCTTCCTCTCCGCTCGCTAGTTTCATGTTGTGGGTTTGGGCTGCAAAGGCCCTTGTCATCATTCTCCGCTCTCGCTCGTGTCTGTGTGTCTGCTTCTACTCCCCACGTGGGACGGGTGATGAGCTCATCACTCCTCGGACTCGACGCTCTCGACGCTTGGCGAAGGGGACGAGTTGCGGGTGTATCGTGAGGAGAGGGTTGGGCTGGCAATGGGTTGTTGGGAGATGGTGGACTCGCTGTCGGAGGAGAGGTCTTCAATGGGGAGGCGGAGCATTTGTCCTCCAACGAGGTTGGGGACGTAGACGTATTGAGGTGCTGGAGAAGACATGGTGTTGATGGTAGTAGTAGTAGTGTTGGTGTTGTAGTAGTGTAGTAGAAGGAGGTGATGGTCGATGTATTACTTTTTGAATGATTCGAAGATGATGTCTAGTATGAAGTTCACGATGTTCTGGCTTCCAAGTCATGGAGGTGGGGGACAAGCACCCATCTATATACTCTTAACTCTCAGACCACCCCAGCCAAAACAGAGGCCCTATCGCTCTCTCAACGATGCCACTCACACACCACCCCAAGCTCCACCCATGTAGCCCACACCAACCCAAAACCCTATCCCCGACAATCCAAGCACCGTATTACCCACCCGGTCCCAGACGCAGCCAACCAGCGGTCCCATTCCCACCAAGGGTAGCGGGGCACTATCTCCGTCTCCTCCGCTTACCAGCGCTGATTCGGCGCCGCACCTGCACAACGCGTGGCAAGTCTCCCCGATGCAGCTGAGGTGTGCCGACTTATTGCGTCCGGCCCACGGCGATAAGTGGTTCATGCGCGCGGTACGTCGTTCAAGGCCCCGCATCCCCATGCCCATGCCAATACCGCACATCACACTTGCCAAAAGCCCATAATATTGCCTTGTCCTCTCCCACTCCCTCTCTCTCTCGTCCGCTTTCCGCCAGCGAAACCCAAAGGCCAAGCCCGGGCGCCTAGTCCTCGTGATTTTAGCGCCGCTCGCGTCGCAGCGTCCGCAGGCCTAGACCTTCTTGTCTATCGCCTGCTAAGAGCCTGGGCAGGAAAATCTATCATCGTCATTCACTGGCTTTGTCTTCTGCCTGGCTGGGTTGCGCCATATGGGATAGGCAGAATGCCAGTCCTTGCGATGTTTGCCTTGCCGTGGTGCCCAATACGAGGCTTTTCTCAGCTCCCCAATTGAGGATTGAGGATCGACATTTTCACCCAAAAAAAAAAACAGAGTTCGTGATAGAGTGCCTGGTTTTAGCGAACAAGTGTTGGGCCGCCCGGGTCAGTGCGGTTTCATGTTCGGACTTTGTGTGTAGACAAAAGACCGAAGATGAGTCAGATGCTTTTCGATTTGCAAGAGTGTGCAACATGTGGACGACGGTGTTTGGATAGAGATACCTGATCTTGCTGAGGTGGTCAAAAAAAGGAAGCAAAGTGTCGCTGTCGGTCATGGTGGAGATGGACTACAGTTCACGATGACGGTTGTGGGGGTTTGGCTTGGCCTGGTATCCAGATACCCTGCTCCTGGGCATTTTGAGGCGGGGCCGAGTAATGCGCCGAGAGCTTCGATACGATTCTATTCACACCTTACGATGGCCGTGGCGATTGCTACATAACACGTAGGAAGTATATTAACCCAAGTAGACTAGCCGTCCGTACAAGACATGATGCTTTTTCAGCTGCATACTGTTCTACGACTCGTGTAGAGGGTACCGAGACCCTTTGGCTCCGCGATAGTTTATTGTTGCGCACGGTTGGGGGCGTGGGAGCCATTGAATGTGGCGTTTGGCCTTTGCCACTATACATCGGAACCTCGTTTATAGTTGCAGCAGAGGAGCGAGCCAAGAAGCGCGGAACATTTTTCCTCTTGGGAACAAAAAGTTTTCAACAAGCATTTTGGAAACGATTATAGTATTTCATTCACTGTCTATTGAATCCCAATCTCAACTCAAACCCACGAGAACTCTAATTAACCAACGGCTATCTAACTTGCACCCAAGTCTCGACTTTCCGTACACGTAATACCACCGAGAACCTAATCTAATATCTCTACATGCCAAGGAATGCATCCAAGAACCTCCGCCAACCCTCCGCCAATACTCCCCTTTCGTCAAAGCATGACCATTAAAACCACACTCTATTCTGCGGTACCGGGTGCGCCCGAACCAGCATAATACCAATACATCCCGAATGACCTCTACAATATCAGGTACAAATTCAGATCATATGATATAAGAAACGTATATTTGCTTTTCCAGGAAGCGGTACGCTGGCGGCGCCAGCGAGAAACAGGGTAACTAGCGCGATCAAACTTTGTAACAACTTTCAGTTAGCATGAGAGAGGAGCAAGATAAGACTGGGGCTCTGAACAATGGCTGTGATAAAGTAAAAAAAAAATTGCAAGTACATATGAGCAAGCGCTGACGTTGTTTGCGGGGAAGGACGTGATTACGCTATGCCCAAGTTGAATTGACTTTGATGTCGCGTTGACCCGTTGCTTATGCTTCGGTACTAACAGCGGATGTGAGGCGGGAGTATCCATGAGAAAGCTTATCTAATTAAAATGGTATTTAACTATTTGTTCAAAGGTTCTGATGCCACAATCCTGATACAAAAGTTGTGATAAGAACATTTGCATTACTACTAGAACTTTAGTCCTTCACTGGAACCCCGTAACCAAATCTTACGTCATGAAACAAATGCTATAGAAGCCGCTAAAACTCAATCTCCGCTCTGATCGGGCGTGGTGTACAAAAAACGTCAAGTGCATCAAAATAATCTCATAATTACGACAAAGCAGGATGTTCCTATATGTTCAAAGCGCCTATACTCCTCCCTAGTGCCACGCTCATATATCCAAAACTAGACATCATCATCTAGTCTAGCTGGCCTAACCTTGCTAGCTCCAGCATCTCCTTGGTTACCCTTCCAACCCCAAGGCACATCAGCCATCGTTTTATCCTCGTCCTTCCCAGGCCACATGATCTGTCCGAGGAACAGTGCGCGAGCACAGAACACGGCCGTCATGAGCCACATGATTACAAGCAATAGAGTCAGTGCACTCGCCACGCCATTAATAGCTTCACTCTTTAGCACCTTCCCTGCTTGTATCGTCGCGAGCGTGAGTCCGGCATTTGGGAAAATAAAGGCCCACCAGTTTAGCGTAAAAGACATTTTGCGGGCTCCGACTATGACAGCGATGGTTGTGACAAGGAAGAACCAGTAGGCGAACAGTATAACGAAAAGACCAGCGACGATGCCGATTATGCGCAGAATTTCGCCGTCGGGAACAGAAATAGTTGTCAAATAGTTTGCTGGGACTTGATTTGGTGCTTGATTTGCAAGGGAAAGTAGTCCGGCAGCAGTGTAGCCTAAAATTGTTAACATGGTGACAACGGTAGTCTATTTTTGTGAAGAGTAAAGACTTACCTGCTGGACCAACAGAAACAAACATGCCCGGTCTAGTAGATGGAGATGGCAAAGCATGCGTCATAAGACGCTGCATATAAAGACCATATAGCAAGAACGACACCAACCACGCAAGTCCCTTGAACATGATTGCACTCACGAAAATCTTCCAGCTTGCACCCGGAGGCTGACCTGGCAATATAGTCCCAGCCAGCGTTCCCACTACAAGCAGAGGGTAAATAGGAAAGATCCAGGCTGGAACGGCATCAGCAACGTTAAGCCGCTCAAGACGGAAGAACATAGAGTACTGCAACAGCCCGACAAGAAACGCTGCAGCACAGTACATCCAGTACGTAACTTCGAGCCCCTTGGTCAGCCAAGGTCCAGTCGCCGAGTCACCGTAGATGTATGTGCAATTCAGAATCAGCGCGAGGGACACCCAGTAGGTGCCGAAGAAGAGACCTTCGACTGGATGATGCAGGGACCCGCGGAGTTTCCGAGGAACGAGTAGGAAACGGGTGAGCATGCATAGGTTGAAAAGGACGAAGAGGACTAGATCGAAGATGAAGACGACTTTGCCGATTGTTCGTAGCCCGGTAAATTTGTTTGGCGTATTTCCTAATACCACAGCAAGGGATCCTGTAGACATTGTGCACGCGAACCATGGCCTATTGTCTCGTTAGCCTACTTCCTGAAGCCATTGTTCTTTTTTTTTGGGGGGGGGGGGGGTAACGTCAAAACACACCATGTGAAGTGAGCAAGTCGATCACGAAGGCCCACCTGCTCCGGCGGCTTCTCATCATCATCATCATCCTTGTATTGGCTGTGCTTTCTATCGCGAAATCTCATGGTGCTGACAATGAAAAAAAACCTCACGCGGCGAAAACAAAAAAAGTGTCAAAGTAGCGGTGCCCACGCTCCCAGATAATAGTGCAGCTCATGACCCTATCAACCTAGCTGTCAAAAACAAGCTGCGCATCATTCGTCATCAGCTTTCGCTCCATACTGAGACTTTCGGATCATCGGCACAGTGAGCATTTGATCGCGCGTAAGTGTGGGTGGAGCTAGGGGGAAATTTTTTGGAGATGCTATGATGTCATTGTGAAGGCGCCGAGCGTGGAGAGTGGGTTACGTCAGGCCTGACTCATTTGCTGGGTTTTCGACGAGAACATGGATGTTTTGGAAAATTGCCATTTTGGGATTAACAAGTCTTGATGTGTTTCGCGTCTAGTGGTAGAGTAGTGGGTGGTCGTGTTACGATAGGATTGAGTAGCAGAGTTGCCAAGACCTACTATGCGATCCGATAGCCGTTGCTGATCGCCAGTGGTTTTACCCCGCTTGGCTTGTATGGTCTGCTAGAGATGGAATCAATAGTCCAAGAATATCTGCTACTGTTTGATCCATCGACGCTAGAATGTTAGCATGGGAATGCCATTCCTTAGCTGGCGGTAGATCACGTGAGGAGCATCAGTTAAGAGTAGTCGAAGGTGGGACTTTCCCTTGTATCAAAGAGAAGAAAGGGTAGATAGATAAGAAAAATCGGACAGTCTTAGTATCGAAGATAATATGTGGGCAAAGCCGTATCCCTCCCCAGCATCGTTCCAAGACGTAAATCGTATTTAATTCCTTCTAAGATATCAATCAGGTTACACAGAAAGTGAATCCAACGACATAAAACTATTCATTCACTCCAACATTCTAGCCTTTGCACCTGTTTATTTTACAGGAGTACGAACATTCATATATCCCTTGGCCTCCTACATCCATCATCCAAATGGCATACCCTATGGCTCAGTGTGTCAATCTGCCTAGAAGCTTGATTTAGAACAGGAGCAGATACTAGTAATAGGATACATGAAATGCTCTATGTAGTGAGAAACAACATGTCTTGTCATATCATGCCTAGTACAGCGAACACACTCGTAACATGTTCGTAAAACGCGGTATGATTTTTGGCTTCTGGGAAGGTAATCACACCAACTAAACATGAGCAATAAACTTTAGATAGTTAGATATATTGCAACCATCTC